TGGAGGTTCTGTTAATGGGCTCGGGCAGGCCAAAAGAGGTTGATATGGCACAACAATCGAAGACGTAACGTGCACTAAAAGTCCTTTTCTTTGCCGTGAAGGATTGTCTTTAACCAAAAAAATGATAGCAAGTATTTTGCTAAAATTCCTTGACTATTAGGTGTTTTGACTGGACCTATATCGCCATGTAAGCCTAGGCAAATGGATTGCCTGAAGTATTACCTTTGGTGTTAGCTAACTTGCACTTAGAGATGGCTCTTGCATCTCTACACCAAGTGAATGGCAACACCAGTGACTATTGCTGTGTATCACAGGCACCACTTCATCCTGAAAAAGACAACTTCTGGTTACTGTGTGCCGGTGGAATGCCAGAGACCAAATTACCAAAAGTAAAACACGTAAATGAGATTCATCAACTTGATACATAACGATACAACTTTGATGTGCGCATTGGGCATTTCTTGCCCGAAAGATAACTGGCAAGCTTACAAAGGCTATACGCGGAATCAAATTCTGCAACAATTTTCTAACCGATTATCTCCACCAAACGGCCTTGGACGACAGGTCAAACAAATAATCCAGAAATAAAACTGAGGCAGCAATCAACGTGGCTAGGACTAGACCTTTTGTGTCCTTAAGGAGAAGCAAAACAAGTCTTAAAAATGGAATTATCCGCATTTCCTATGGTACGGTTGGCAGAAATGATGTATTGCATCCAAAATTATTCAAATGGCCAAAATTTTTCTGGGAAACCGCCAGAAGATATCTAATTTATAAAAGAGTATGAAGATACGCACTGTCGTGTCTAATGAGAAATTTCCTTCATCTAGCTCAGATGGTCTTTATATTCTACGCCATTAATGAAATGTTTCCAGTTGAAATTAATGACGTCAGCATGCCTGAAAAATCACATTTGTTATTATTTATCGTTGTGCCGGAGCAATCTGGATTAGGTTTCGCAGCAAACATTGACGCGATACAACCAAGGCTTCTAAATTTACTTTACAAAATGATGGAATAACCTCGAGATTAGTCAACCATCTGCCTCAATCACCAGGTTACAAAGGCTACGTAATTGTTCCGCTATTTATTTTCAAGGTGAAAAATCAGTAAAACAAAATACAAATAAGCGTTTATATAGAACCAATCACTGACATTTGCTGACAATACATACTAAACTAAATGTCGTTATTCTTTTGGATTTGAGCTGTTGCTTCGTTAAAGAAAAACTATTGGATGGAATTTGTCCAAAGTAAAAGACGTAATTTCTCTTGACAATGACAGCGTATTGATGAATACATCTTCGCACCTAAGGGAGTATCAAAAATTGGGATACGAATTGCATACACTGTGCTTCCTTATCCGTTTAACAAACATAGTGAAAAAGTAATCCGTTGAAACGGGATTGCTTTTAAGCATCACTTCTTTGGCTTCTCCAGTACGACTGAGTGTTTTCTGCGTGCCAATATAAACCGTGGCTCCGTCGCGCCTATTTAAAGTAACAGATGCGCGTGTTGCGAAAATAGGAATGAATTTATCTGCGAAATGTAAAATTTTCTTGCTGTCATTGGAAATGCTACCGTTACCCTTGGCGTCATTTGATAGAGAATTCGAGGCCTTAGCCAATAGTGTGAACAGCAATCTTTTAGGCAATAAGAACTAATTCAGAATATGGTGCTACGGATTTTTGTAGCACAGACTATGCTTGGTATACATTTTTCTTCCCCCAAACAACATTCCACATCATTTACAAACGGTAATAAGTTAACGAAACTCGTTTTCATCATCATTCCATGCAGTTTTTTTCATGCCCAGTTTAAGAGCAGTCAGGATCGTACTACCACCTGGTGCTGTTAAGATGCCACAGAACATAGACTTTGAGAGTTGCACTGTTTTGTTTTTTTGCAAAATCACGATCGTCACTCTCATGTACTCGCACCTCTAGGGGACAACTTTACAGTCATCGTCAATCAAGTAAACTGAAGTGTTCCCAGGGCGAGAGAGCTGAGGGCAAATCTTACAGCCTTATCAAATGTCGAAATCTTAGTTTTGTTCATGGTTATGCATAACTACGGCTAATTCAGTGGCGCCAATTTGTAAACATTTTAACTTGCCATCAATTGGTGCCATCAGGTTGGAATGCAAATGCAACGTTATTATTAATTTGTTTAAGCACCTTTTGGCCCCTTCACGTGTTTAAGACTACACTGATTACAAAGACGCTCGGCGACAAAGACTTCGTCGGATCATATCAGTAACCTATCAACCCCTCCACGCGTCGAGAATGCATTAGTTTGCCTGAATGCAACTTCTTACGACTTCAGTGAACGCTCGGAAAGCTATAATAGGTCCACGCATACCCTTGGTTTTCAAAATCTCAGAGTTGGGCATACTTTATACCAAGGTAATGGCGCCAGTTCCATGCTCCACGAGCCACGAACTCCCATCCCAGTAGCAGCATGCAACACTATTAAACTGGAGCTCAAAGAAAAAAGCATCAAAGCAGAATAGGAGCTTTGGTACACACACGACTGGCACGCTTTTATTAATTGAAGTCTTCTAGACTTTCAATGAACATGCTTGCTAAATGATGATAAAAGATGAATGTGGCATTATCATGCTTACAAGTTCCATTGTCAAGGTGAAGGTAGCATTGAGGGAATGGGAAATCCGCCGAGGTGCAAGGAGAAAATAAGGGAAATGCTTGCCAACAGCGATGGTGGTGCTGTGAAGGGGGCACTGCTGGAGGTAATCAAGGGAGCTACCTCCATCGGTATTAACACCTTTATTGGGTGAGAGGTGGAAGCAAGGATGATTCTGCGATGCTTTCAACTATCCATCAGCCAAGTTACTCATAACGCCTTCATTGAAAGGGAGTTGCCTGCAGGAATAAAGCTGGTCTATGGCACCTTGTATGCACACACGCTCCAGGATCGCAAAAGCACCACAATTAAAGGCTCTATTTGAGTGTGGAAAGCAGCTTCCAAGAGGCATCAATCGACTCTCCTCTCCTCTTGCAAGCTCCGCCAGTACTGACAGCATTCCTTGCATTTTAGCTCAACCCGGACTGGCGATCAAAGTTAGAGGTGAGTTTGGAGGCAAAAGGTGGAGCTCAGGTGACGTCAGTTCCTCATTGAGGTCCGTTTGCAAAGTCTGATTTCTAAACTTGCTTTTCACACTCTTTTATGTACTCATTCACCAGATCACGGTGAGTTCAAGAGTTGCGGCGATCTAGCACTGACGTTGATCACACTAGTGTCACACATTTGACCATTTAACTGTCGCGCTGACCCATTTCCATTGTCTGGCCTCATTTAATTGTCTACAAAATTAAGACTAATCATCAAAATGCACTCACAGGGACTAAAAATTGCTCCTGGAGCGCTAAAGCAGAGTTCAAAGTCAGGCACAAAAACCCTTCATGTTGCATTTATCAGATGCGTCTGAAATTCAGCTCCTGGAGAAACGCATTACATCCACGTCAATGCATCAGTCCAACGTTTTGAACCCATTTGCATGTCTCCAAGTGTTTACTCCTCCTCCAAACGAGTCAGTACGATTGAGGAACGGGAAGCAGTGGCCAAGTTGAATTTGCGAATGTCAACAAACATTAAACCCGAGGTTGGAACGAATCATCTTGACTGAAGAATGTGACAAATGGTAGAATTTGATGACTACAACAAGCATTAACAACTAGCTACTAGG